GCAAAACGTATGACAGCGCAGCAGTAAATGGGCAGGGTGGTAACTGGTCTTCAGGGAAAATTAAAGAAATATATAGTGTAAAGAAGCCAATATTTGCTGCATTATTATGGACTGTGGTCTTATAGGAGAATGCTGACTAAATGTATGAAAGGGAATTGTGATTATTTTTCGCCTGTTTTAGTTCTGAAGCATTCTTTTCTAAATCTAAGGCTTTTCTAAAAACTAGGCGCGATTGAAGCTCTTAGACACTGTGTGAAAAAAGCGATTTACTCTTCAGCTGCAGCAACACGTTGGAATTTCACCAGCAGACTTGTACAAACTGCTGAAAAGATCATAACAGTGATCTGCAGGAATTATTTGCCCTAAGTAGACGAAAAATCTCCAAGTGACTGGCCCTGAAACTCTCCGTGAAAGTTCCCAAACCCGCTCGAAGTAGCCTGCAAACCTCCACCGAATTTACAAGTATTTTTGTCTCAGTTTCCTCGAGGCTTGTCTGTTTTTCACGTTAAAACCCCAATCACTTAAGCCATGATAGTTAAAGTGAAGGAAATACCGAAGGTTCGCGTGCGGAACAATTTAGCAGAACTGTATAGTATTGAATTGAATTGATAGCCTTAATTTTAACGTGGGCGAGAACTCGGACATCAGCCGCTTCGTTGTCTGAACACGCAATTTCGCCTACGCTCCTGTTCACAGCTAGCAGAGAAACGGAGGTATTTCTTGAGCGGAAAACAAGGCGATGAATTCTATGGCGAATTTAGGCTGCAGTGCGTCAGTTTAGGCTTGAGGATCTATTTACATGCAAAGTAAATCTACTAACATGGGGACAGCCGCATATACTTCCCCTGCGAAGGATTTTTTCGCCCTTAAAACTCCACGGCTTTGATCGGGTTTGAACCCTCCTTGGGTATAACAGTCCGATACGCTAACATCATCGCCGCCGCAATGTATTCATAACTATTATTACTCGCCGGATAGTATTCATGACTAGGAGCAAAAGACTATCTTTCGTTCTTAAACAAAAATATTTTTTAATTATAAATTTTTAATATTTTCACCGCTTGCTAATTTTTATAGTGATATTAAATTACTATTACTATTATTAATATTATAAAAATATTTACTATTAATACTTTTACTTATAATTTATTATTACTAATATTAGACTTGTATTATTCTATAATAAATTTTAATTATATTATTTGGTTTTATTACTGTCCTTATTTTTATAATTATAGTTAACTATTATCCTAGAATATTAATTAGTCATAAGAAAGTTAGAATAATTAGACAAATCCTAAGTAGTTAGTACCCTACGTGTGATTGTAAGCAACTTATTTAATTCTGATTCCTTTCTGCTTATTGCTTTTTTTCCCGTAAATGTTGCAACGAAGCTAAACACCGCCTTTTCCTCCGTACACGTACAGTAAAATGCTTATTACCGTTTGTATTCATATTTCAACATGTATATACATTAGTCATTGTCCATCATGCGCAGTTGATAAATAACTAACTGTAATTCTAATAAACTAATTAAATTATTAATGTTCTACGATTTGTAATGTTAAGTCAATTTATTGCCACCTTATGACAACACTTCAAACGAAGCACACGAAAATAAAACTTTATAGTTTATTATAATGCGATTTAGTGTGTTTAAATTCAAAACATTTTATAAACTGGTGTCTGTGGCGAAATTCATCCAATGTAATAAACATTGAAAATAGTAAAATGAATCCTTTAACGTTCTATAGCCGCGAAAAAGCAACGTGTTTACCATGTAGAAATATAAAATAAATCCTTAAATCTTGGAAATCCTTCATTAATTTTCAACTCACAAAATGTGTTCACAAAGAGCGAACCTACTTTTATTAAAAAACGGATAATCTACGTTTTACTATATTGCTTTATACTAGTTGACATTAGAGTCAATAATGTGGAATGTATTGCTGGTGATTTGCTGAAATATTCCGAGATAAGTGACCTTCTTTTAGGGAAAATATCTATGTACCTTAGCTGGCAAAACGGACAAAAACTTTGGATTATCAAATAGGTTTTGTAACATTTCTAAAAGTTCAATTTGGAAAGTCAAGCTCGACTAAATAAAACAGCTATATCTTTAACAATCACCATCTCGCCGTTCAAGAACAATGAGCTTTGCAAATATGGATTGCGGCATTCAATTAAGCTTTGCAGACTGAAAGAAATAAATCAATACGTTGAAGAAACAACTTGTAAAATAGTGTAAAAAACTAAAATAAAGTTGTAAAAGTAAAAATAGTAAAAATATAGTAAAGTTATAAAAGTAAATATATAGAAAAGTAGTAAAAATATAGTAATGTTATAAAAGTAAAAATAAAGTTGTAAAAGAATAAAATATAGTAAAGTATAAAAGTTATAAAATATAAAAATAAAGTTCATTGCCCTCTGGTTCACCTGCTTTGTCGAAATTCCAACTTCTTTCGAACGCTAATTACTTCAGTTGCCTATATTCAATTGTCTTTCCGTGTATCTTTCTGCCTTTTAAGTTTTCCTTCTAAATTTGTGAGCCACCTTTCCGAAATGCTTCCGGATGATTCTTAAAATTGTTTATTTTCCTAAGTTACCCGTTATTTAACGATATATAAAATTCGGCTCCGCGTTCACGTTGTAAATTGTATCTTCTTTTACTGATTTAGTTATTAATACATTATATTCCTAAACAATTTTTTTATAGTACCTGCGTATGGTTACAATATATATAAAACCTGGCGTCATAATGAACATGACGGTTACGTGCACATATGTGCTACTCTCACCGTAACCATTTACGTTATTTTACTTCGTGTAGAAACTGGAAATTGAAAAAATGTAATATTAAAGAATAATGTGCGCGGCGATGATGTTACGGTTAGCGTATCGGATTGTTATATCCAAGTTGACGGATTCAAACCCGATCGAAGCCAAGGATTTTTAAAGGCGAAAAACTTCTTCGTACGCCTTCCTTCGGAGGGGAAGTAAAGCCAGCTATCTCATGTTAATAGATTTACTAGCATGTAAAAGATCCTCAAGCCTAAATGACGCTAATTGGTGAAAAGAGCGTAGCGAAATTTGCGTAGTCAGACGGAAGAGCGGGCGTGATGGCCCGAGTCTCGCCACGTCAAATAAGGCATTAATTCAATTAAATAATGTAGCGTAAGTTTATTAAAATATTTATTTTAAGATAATGTACCGTTATTCCCGTGCAAATCAGGAGGTATAAATATTCTTCATAAAAGGAAATGACAAGAGTTTGGAAAAGTTCTCACATCATCACTGGTCATGGATGGGACGAGATCTTTTGCGATTTCTTGAAAGAATTAACACTTTTTTATTTGTCATTCATTTCTTAATAAACCATATAATATAGTTATATACATATGATAACGAGCCTAGCGAGTAAGAAGAAGAATATTCCCATAACGCATATATGTTGAGAGAGCATATACGAGAACATATTATTGAGTTGAACACTTATTTTAAAGGAGCCGTTTTGGATTGTCTCTAAGTAGCAATTGGTGATTTTCCAGTATCTACGAGTATTCTCCACGTGTGGTGTAGTGCTAGAGGGGACTCGAAAGCCCCCGGCGCGCTGCTCCAGGACAATGGCACCGCCAGAGAAGATCTGCACTAATTGAAAGGGTTACAAGGCAATGCTATTTGTTGCCGATAGACACACATTTGTTTTGATGTGATTCAGTATACCAAAAAATCCGATTTTTCATTTGAAAGCATTAAATATCCATACCAGGAATAAACATTCTTAGGATTCAATAAATCACACTCAGTAATTTAAGCGCTCAATGCACTTCTGCTCGTATTGGAATTGGTGGCTTTAGTGTCTGACGCGCCTTACTAACGACGTTTAGTGTCTAGTTATATTATGATTTGGTAAGGTTCAAGTCGAGGGACATCTTTGGCAGGTTTCTCATACACTAGGAGTAACGGCTTCAGTTTCCCAAAAAAGAAGGTAGTTGATATATTAATGATATACTATTGTAAACCTGCCATCTCTCTGTGCAATCATAGGACGAAAGTTATACTACCATAGCCTTTTCAAGGCAGGTAAAAACCATGAGCGCAAACTCTCTACTCTTTTTTATTACTTCTTCGCCTCTTTTCACCCACTAAAAATAGCCATGGATGTGTGGTAAGTGATATTTGAGGAACAAAAGAATCTAAAATGACGTTACATAATCAAATAGTATAAAATATCTTTTATATTATTTGGCATAGTTCACTCAAACCGATTTTATCACAGAAAAAAGTATCGAATATTCTTTACTCTATTGGTCTCCATTCAATGTCAATATATTGTGACTGACTTTTTTGTATTTATATCAACGTTAGTATCTCACATCGGAGAATATTGAGTATTCCTATCATTGAGCATTCCCGAATACTTTCTTCATTATTCCTCTTTCAATGTAGTTTATCTATCTATTTTTGCTCGAAAACGTTGCTTTGGATGCGGCTGACTAATAAATTTGGAGAGCTAAACGTCATACATTTTATTGTAAAAATAAGTTTATTAAATAGTTCAGTTTATTTTCGGAATGAAGTATAATTACTGCAGGAAGAAATATCAAAATCGAGATGCATTACTTTTTATCACGGAACACGCGAATTCAAGTTTTTGATTAAAGTACTGTGGGAAAAATAAGACGTAAGATAACATTAACGCACTCTTGGGTAGATACTACCATAATTGGTCATTTGAATTCCTTGTTTACGTCCCATTAGCATAATGCAGTTTCAAAAGGTGGATGTAAGATGTATAGGAGTGTAATTGTATTTCCCATTACATTAAAAATGTACGATCGTCTAACTGAAATAATGTAGTCACAGATTTTTATATACAACCTGTGTGTATTATTTTATAACATTTTATTCCATAGGAGCAATTAAGTAAGTCTCGATTACACCAATAAAAAGTGACCTAGTTACCATTACACCTCGGATGTTTAAGTCAATGGCTATTGTACTCTTCTGCCGAAAACAAAATTAATTTAAAAATCTCAAGACTACAAGAATGCCTCAAAATGCTCAGCGTCCATTAATAACTGATTTTTTCTGACTTTTTAATTTTCATCAGTATTCAAGCCAGTGAAGGACTAATGAATTACGTGTGGAATATTTTTCTGCTTATGAAATTATTCTGAATGAAAAATGACAATGCTGTTTGTCTTTCTATTAATACTCCGGTGTTTTTAATGAAACATGATTTATGGGCAAATTTATTTACTAGTCGATTTACACATAGTTAAGAAACTGTACTACGTGCATTCGCTTAATAAGAAGCAATTTTATGCGATTAAATTAGAAATGTTTGAGCGCAAATATTCGAGTTTTCGTTACCATCAATAATATAAAATACATTTACCTATAATTCAAGACAGATAAATAAAAAAAGACATTAATAAACAAATCACAATAAGAAGTGTTTTCGTATTGCTTGTTTTTAAAACTTGGGATTTCACTTAGTAGATATCTTCCATGTAATCGATATCCTTGATGATCAGGGTCCAAATAGACGGGTGTCAGTTCCTCTGGAGAGTTGAATTCAGCATAAGTGACCTTTGTATGGAAACATTTACCATAATTAATTCTGGCGATCTCATTTGATGATGATTCCATATTTTGAAATGTTAAAATCAAGGAAGCTAAAACAGAATTTGGAGAATAAAATCTTGGTTTAATAAACCTGAGAATGTTTTAGGCCTAGTTGCATTGAACATCTGGCCTACTTTCAATGTAACAGCAGATACCAAAAGGGCACAGTTAGTAAGAGAATAACGGAAGAAACTTCTGGATTCACCATTACATTTCTGATTGTTCCCTTTTTCATCTTCTTGCGGAAAGAAATTCCAATTCGTAGCCTTCCGTAGCTGGTTTTTAAAGCGAGTTTATTGCGACGCGACGCGACGCCGCTGAATGCAGCAACGCCCCTGGCGGCGGCCGCGCGCAACCTTCAGTCGATCTCGAGCTTCTTGAAGGAGCCGACGATTCCGAAGGCGCTGCGCTGGCTGGAATCGGCCGGCCGCTTGCTCTCGTCCGCGCCGCGCGCCGCCAGCGACAGCATCCAATCCTTATGCTCGTGCAGCCGCGCGATGCTCTCCTCTGAAGCAGAAAACAACGCGCACACTTCCGTTAGTGCCCCTCTGCGGGAAGGCAAAGCAGTTCTTCAGCACTCGTGCGTGAAATCTAGAACTCACTTTCCCGGTTTATTGATTCGAAAGTGTTATTTGAGGTGCGCGTACGGAAAAGCCCACTTTCTCGCGGGCACACCGCGACAAGTCACTGCTATATAAACGACAGGGTACTCTAAAGAAAACAAAACATTCGGGCGACATGAATCAACATGGCTCTCAAGACTAAAATATACTTGCAAGTTTCCATGAATTTGTATAAATTATGTACGTCACTCGGCTTTGATGTACCTATTTCAAATGTCACATTATTAATTTTTCCACTCGTTGCGTAAATAACTTCAATAAAATTATATATCACTAAAAATGTTCACAAAATAATTTCTTCACAGAACACATTTTAGTTTTCGATAAACTCCACTAAAAACCATTTGAAGCATTTACACTCACAAATGCAATAATCTACACAAATAGATAGAAATATGCATATTGACTGCGTGAAAGATATTAAATTAATAATTTCTTTGACTGATTGCGATTGTTCGCGACTCTTGCTTAGGTACTGGTCCACTACCAAAGACTACGCAACCCGTTCCCTGGTCATGCACGCTCGGGGCGTTACAATGTCCGTTAAAAACGAGTTGCGAAAAATCAAAATTATTCAAAAAAGTCTTATCTAACACATAATAATATGTATGTCATACGATTCGTCTTTTCACGCACATTATGATATATAAAAAATATGTATAGTTCCATTTGAAAAAATAATGTACCTCAATATCTTGTAAAATACAAGGTATAATATGCAAAATATGCACAATATGCATTTAAACGAGCCCCATTTCATCACGCACTTCTGTGAGAACTGTATTGCAATAACTTCGACCGTTCAAAACCTGCAGGAGGTGCTAAAGCTGAGTGATTTGCCCAGGACTCTCTCCGCGGAGAGAAAAGTCTCCGAGAAAAGTTCAGATTTAATAAACTCCACAGGCCAATAATATGTGCAATTTTAAAAACTATATTTAAAAAAAATGTCTCCACTAAAACAATTTTTTTTAATGGCTCCAAATTTTTTCATTAAACCTTTGGTAGGGATAGTGGAAATTGTCCTCTATAAGGTAACAAACGTGATATTGCTCTATTCTTTTTTTTATATATAGTACGGAGTTGCTCTACAGCGGTCACCGTTTCTCCGCTCTCAGTCTCCATGCCTCTCTATTGGACCATAGATCATCTGGCATTTCTCTTAAACACATGATGTTTCCTCTCCTATTTTTCCTTTTATCTCTTCTTTCTATTATTCGTATTATTTTGCTATACAGTCTACCTATAGATCCAATAACTGCTTATTTCCTCTGTATTTGTTTCATTGTCTCTAGATCCTTTCTTATGGATTGGTTGTTAGGTAAGACGTTCGCCACTCCTGAGAGGAATTATTCTCCATTCAATAACAATAGGAAATTCCGGCCTTTGCGCATTTTCAGTTTTTGTTTACGCCCACTATGTAAAAGTGCACAAAAGTTGTTCAGTTGTCTCGCTTTTCCCTTGCCTTTCTTTTTGTTTCAGGACCAGACGGCTATATCTGTTTCGGGTCTCATCATTTCCTGGATTACTTCTTGTTGTTATTTGATATACTTTGTACATTCCATATAACGCAATATTCAGAGTCCATTTCTTTGCTGATGTTTCGTTTCCCTTTTGAAATATCCGAGGCATTCTATAACTGAGATTTTAGCGCGTGTGCATGTTTACGGTGTGCCAGAGTGCTGGCCCCAGGCACAACCCCCAAACCTGGCAGGACCGGAGCTTTTATTTCAGGGGTTCCCATCCCTTAGGCTGATCGATTCCCCATTAGCTTAAGGAGTCCAGCCTACCCCTGATCCACTCTTTAGGGATGAATAATTCCCAATGTTAGGTGAATCCCACTTCTTCCTGTTGATCATGCCACCATTCACTACTGGATGCTTCTGGGGTGCTACCCGCGTAAGACCTGTCTAGTACACTCTTAAAGAATAAGGAAGGAGATGAGGAAAGACTCCCTAGCCCTCGAAACCTAATAGCGTCGGGTCAGAAAAAAACAAGAGTTGACCTAGGGAGGCCGATAGAATAGATGAAAGCATTGTGGCCACAAGATAAGTTTAAAGATTGTCACAAATGGTAGATAAGCGAACCATAACAATATGAACACATCGTTATGCGGGAAGGACAAAAAGAGAGGAAAGAAATGTACGATAGGATTGCGGATGGATAAAGACGTGGTAGCGACACGACTTAGTCTGGCCCCTCATTTTGGCCTTCGGGCATGGTACCCTAGTCATGCCGTAGAAAATTAAAAGCTCATGCTACCCGCGTTTAGCCCTCCACCTTAC